CTGACCTTCTTTAACTTTAATGGTGGGAGGAGAAGGATCACTATCAGCATCAACAACTGATTCCTGTGAGGCGAAGGTCAGACATACCTCCTCTGTTCAACCTCTCTACTAATTCTAGCACCAACCATTCTTCCCATGGTGCTCTCAACTTCTCTTCTGGGCTTGATAATTCCTTGCAGTGGCCACAGAGCTTACATACATTACTCATGATTACTAGGTTTATTAGGGAAATAACAGATTCCAATTCAGGATCAGAAACAATTCAGAAAACAGTTCTTTGGTTATGACAACTCTTAGCCATGCTGTGCCTCCCTCCCCCTCAGCCTCTCAGACTCCATGGTCCCTTGGCCTCTGACCTGCTTGAGCAAGTGTTATCATGTTCTTTAGCTCTGCCAATAAGTGCCAAGAGGCACCCTACTCTGCCAGCAGACCTACTGTCCAAAGCACTTAGCTTTCGTGCTCTGTGAGCCAGGAAGCCCACCATGCCATTTCCTGCCACTACTGTCCTGGTTCTGCTGCTGCTGTCTCTCCCTGTGTTCAGTGTAAGTTTCTCTCTCTGTCTCCTTGGTCTAGAAAGTTCTCAGTGCTGGTGTCCTGGATCCAAAGGATGTGCTTTGCTCCTGTGGCTTCTTAGTGGTGGTACTTCCCATTTCTGCCTCTGGGATGGTTCATTTTAAGTTGGGATCCCACTCAGATGCAGTTTTCTTTCTAGTGGTTTTATAAATGGGAGACAGTAAGCATATTCCTAGAATATGCTTTCTTCAAAATCCGGATAGACCAACCAAACATTGGGTCTCCTGCTTAGTCTTAGGAATAGATAGCAACAGTCAAGTGTTAGAATGAAACATGCAAAGACTTGGAGTTAGAAAACCAAAAGGGAAGAACACACTCAACATTTCTCAACCTGAAAGAACTAATGAAAAAAATTCAAGCCTCAACTTGCAATACTGAAAGATTTTATGGACAAAATATTTAATATTGAATGATAGAGGAAACATCAAAGAAGATGGAAGCTTTTTGACTGAAGTCAGGTCCATGAGCCAGATAGTTTTGGACATGAAGTCATGAGCAAAGTATTGTGAATACTGGATTTTCTCAGAGAGGGAAGATTTGCTACAGTTTACAATGTTGGAGGAGTCCTGGTGTGGCGCTGTGGGCTAATGCCTCAGACTGCAGAGTTGTTTGAACTGCAAGGTCAGTGGTTCAAGCTCACCAGCTGCTCCTTGGAAACCCTATACAGGGTCTCTATGGGTCGTAATCGACTTGATGTCACTTAACAACCACAACAAACAAGGTTGGAGACAAGAACACTAACCAGATAGTTGTCATTTAAAAAAAATTGAACTTGGATATAGATCAGAAGATAAAGATGGTATAAATAGAACAGCTTTAAGAGAGATTAAATTATTACAGGAACTAAGTCATCCAAATATAATTGGTTTCCTTTTAGACATAAACTTAATATCAAGTTTGTATTTGATTTTATGGAAACTGATCTAGAGGTTATAATAAGGTATAATAGTCTTGTGCTGACATCATCACACATCAAAGCATATATGTTGATGACTCTATAAGGATTAGAATATTTACATCAACAGTGGACTCTACATAGGGACCTGAAACCAAACTTGTTGCTAGATGGAAATGGAGTTCTGAAACTGGCATATTTTGACCTGACCATTTGGAAGTCCCAATAGATCATCAGGTTAAAACCTGGTGGTATCAGGTCCCTGAGTTACTATTTAGAGCTAGTATGTATGGTGTGGGTGTGGACGTGTGGGTTGTTGACTGTATGTTAGCAGAGTTGCTTCAAAGGATTCCTTTTTTGCTAGAAGATTCAGACCTTGATCAACTAACAAAAATATTTGAAACTTTGGGTGCATCAGCAGAGGAACAGTGGCCTGATATATTTAGTTTTCCAGATTATGTGACATTAAAGAGCTTCCCAGGAATCCTGTTACAACATATCTTCATTGTGGCATGAGATGACTGGGCTTGACTTCATACAAGGTTTATTCTTATTTAATGCGTGTACTTAGATTACAGCCACACATTGAAAACCAAGTATATTAGTAATCCACCAGGGCCTACACCTGGGTCTCATCTGCCAAGCCCCACTGTCCAGTGGAAATCCAGCTGTGGCAACAAAATGGAAAAGAACAGAGGCCTTGGAACAAGGAGGATTTCCCAAGAAATGAGTTTTTCAACTCTAGAGAATACTGGACAGTATTTCACTGCTGAAGGAAACAGTAAAACTAGCAAATAATGGAAAAATAGTAAACATTAAATAAATACTGTAGAGCTGAATTTGTAAATATGCTATGTCTGTAAAAACATATGAAAGTATGAATTATTTTGTATTAAATGTATTTTACAACAAGAAAAAAAAGATGGAAGGAATATACAGAGTCACAGTACTAAAAAGAAATGGTAGATGTTTAACCGTTTCAAGAGGTAGCATATGATCAAGAGCCAATGGTACTGAAGGAAGAATTCTAAGGTGCATTGAAGACATTGGCAAAGAACAAGGATGGAAATGAATGGAATACAAATTGAACTCTTTCAGCAAACTGAGGCAGCACTGGAAGCACTCACTCATCTATGCTAAGAAATTTAGAAGACAGCTATCTGGTCAACTGATTGGAAGAGATTTGTATTTGTGCCTACCCATTCCAAAGAGAGATGACCCAACTGAATGCAAAAATCACCAGACAGTATCATTAATATTGCGTGCAAGTAAAATTTTGCTAAAGGTAATTAGACACTGGCTGCAACAGTACATAACAGGTTCAAGCTAGATTCAGATGAGGATGTAAAATGAGGGATATCATTGCTGATGTCAGATGGATCTTGAAGGCAGAGAATATCAGAAAGATGTTTACCTGTTCTTTATTGACTTTGCAAAGGCTTTCGACTGTGTGGGTCATGACAAACTATGGACAGTTTTGCAGCTGGTGGGTTTGAACTGCTGACCTTGTAGTTCACAGCCCAGTGCTTATCCTACAGTGCCACACCAGTTGTTGTTGGTAAGTTTGAGTCAGTTTTGACTCAGTCCAGTGCTGATCCTACAGCGCCATATCAGGAGTCAACTATAGCACTCTTCACTTTGGCCTTAGCTCCTGCTTTTGTATTCAAGCTTCCTTTGCCCATCGGGCTCTTCTTGTCTCTATCTGGAAGTTTCCTCCGTATCCATCAATATCCTGGTTACTTTCTTCAAGAAACATTACCTCCAATGGCATCTTGAATCTGTGGATTAGTATCTTTTATTATCAGCTCTGGAAAATTCTCAGTCATCATTACTTCAAATACTACCTTTATTTCAATCCCTTTCTTTTTGTGTATGGGTCTGATCAGCCATGTGCCAAATATTTTAATTTTGTTCTTGTGTCTCTTATTATTTCTTTTATTTTCCCATCTCTTTTTTTCTTTGTGCTGCATTTTGCATAATATTCTATCTTCCAGTTTGTTTCTCTTTCCTGCTATGTCTTGTTGCTATTGTTAAGTGCTGACTCATAGCAACCCTATATAGTGGGTTTGGGTTTGAATTGCCAGCCTGTGGTTAAGAGTCCAGTGCTGATCCTATAGCACCATACCAGGAGTACTTTATGTCTAGCTGCCATTAAACCTGTTCACCAAAAATTAAAATTTCAATCATAATACCTTTTATTTCTAGAAGTTCCACTTGGTTACTTTATAAATTTGTGTGATTATATTAATAGTGTCTTGTCTTTATTAAAATTCAATTTATTGAAAAAATATACTTAAAATACTTCTTTTATATTATTATCTAAAATCTTTGGGACTCTTTTTTTGCATTTTTTGCATATAATGCTTTGTATCCGTGTATGTTTAGTAATTTTTGACAGCGAGCTTGTGTTTTTCTTAGTAACTTTCTGATGATAGTTTAACATCTGATATAAGGATTTGTGGTGCTGTAGGATAAACACTGACTGCTAACCACAAGGTTGGCAGTTCAAATCCACCAGCCACTCCTTGGAAATTGTATATAGGATTTCTTGTTGTTGTTGTTAAGTACCATGGAGTCGGTTCCAACTCACAGTGACCCTGCATATGGTTTCCGAGGCTGTAAATTTTTACGGGAGCAGAACGCTTCATCTTTCTCCCGCGGAACCACTGGTAGTTTCGAACTGCTGACCTTGAGGTTAGCAGCCCGAATCATAACCACTATGCTACCAGAGCTCCTTACATAGGGTTGCTATTAATGAAAATTAACTAGACATCATTTAACAACAACAACATCAGGACTTATGGAGTCCTGGTGTGGCACCTTAGAATAAGAACTGGACTGGTAACCACAGGGTCAAAGGTTCAAGTCTACAAGCTGCTCCTTGGAAACCCTGTACAGGGTCTCTATGAGTCGGAACCAACTCCATGGCATTTGACAACAGTAAGTAAAGATTTCTCTAGAGAATATTTACATTTCCTTCTGTGTAATGCCTGGGGTCACTTAGAAGCATATCTTAAATTAATTATCAACTTGAAGTGGTTTAGGTCACCCATATAGTTGCATTTGGGTTGTAAACCATCATGAAAGATAGCTTATAGTTATAAAAGCTTAATGGTGATTCTTCCCTGACCCAACACCAGAGTTTAAGATAATTTTACTTTAAGCCTTTTTGAAGGAGGTTATATGTCTAGTTCACCCTTAGACCGATAGTGCAGCTATTTGAGAACCTTTGTGAGGCTGTGAATACTGAAGTTCAAGTTCACATGGGTTGGCAGATTTCCTTGAGTTTCTATATGGCCTTCTGTCTCCTGCCTCCCCTTAGCTTTTGACCTGAGCTTTTAATATCTTTTTTTAACCTGCTTTCTGAGTAACTTATGTTGTTGTTGATAACTGTTGACTTATAGATGCATTTTAAAAGGTTAAAAAAATGTGTTGGCTAGCAGTTTTAGTTTTCAGTAAGAAGACTGGTCAGAGTAAACAGACTGTTGTTTTGTCTTGGACTGAACTCTTGATTTGGTTTTTATTCTTTTAGGACTCTGGGGCCTGGTCAACAATGCAGGCATTATCTACCCAACTGGCTGCAGTGAATGGCTGCAGATTGAGACCTATGTGAATATCCTCCAAGTGAATCTGATTGGTTTGATCAAGGTGACCTTGGGCATACTTCCCTTGGTGAGGAAAGCACAGGGGAGGATTGTTAATGTCTCCAGCGTCCTGGGAAGAATTGCATTCTTTGGAGGAGTCTACTGTAGCTCCAAGTATGGAGTGGAAGCTTTTTCAGATGTTCTGAGGTAACTGTTCAATTAAAAAAAAAACAAGTATTGAAACTTAAATTTGTCTTAGGCATTGTGCTAGTTGCTTTCACCTACATTATCTTAGTTTGTCACTCCCCACATCATGATGCGTAGATGTTATTACTCATCTGTTTTACATAGAAAATGGTGTCTCACATTTGTAAAGATTCTTTCCCAAAGTTCTTCTATCTCAGTCAGCATGTGGCAGAACTGTGTATTGTCTCCTGTCGGCACATCATACTCTAATTTTCAAGATTTATCCTGGATGAAATTTCATTTCTGAAGAGATGATGTTTCCTTCTTTTCTACTTAAAATGAACTTACCATTGTTCCTTCATGGTGATTCTCTTTCTCTCTGGTTATTCATCTGGTTCCAACTGACCTGTTCCATCACTTTATCATGTTTATCTTTTCTTTACATTTTCTTTTATTTCTTATAACTTGAATTTGCTATGACTCGTAGTGAGGCTGCCTCTACCTCTTGGCAATTTTTTCATCCATGATTTGAATTTCTTGCACCTCTATCTTACTTTTATATTTCCTAGTTTGGCTTCCCAAGACAGTATTGAATTTATTTTACATGTGTAGGTCAGATAACACTATTGCATGTCATTATTATATACTTCCAATGAGTATGATGTATGGATACTGGTAATGTAGTGAATTTCAAGCTGTGCTGCTAACTGCAGGGTCAGCAGCTCGAATCTATCAGCAGCTCTAGAGGAGAAAGATGAAGCTTTCTGCTCCTGTAAAGATTTACAGCCTTGGAAACCATATACAGGGTTGCTATGAGTCAGAACTAACTCAGTATACAACCACCCCAACTACTATGTGTTGGACATTATTTTAAGTAATTTTCATAACAACCCACTGAAGAATTAACCCAGGCATGAATGAATTAGAACCCTACTAGCAGCAGTCAAGAAATCAAAGGATGTATTACATTAGGCAAATCTGCTGCACAAGACCTTTTTAAAGTGAT